AAACTCATAATTTGTGCAAGTGTGACCTTGCCCCTGGTGAAGCGCAAACTTGAGTTGCACTCATTGTGATCGTTACAACACAAAGATCCAAAAGAGTGCATGGTGGGAGGGAAACCCGCCGTGGCAGCTCAGGTCAGGCTCTTTGCAGTGTTTTCGGACAGCGGGAAATCATTGTTGGAAGGTTAATATAGCTCTGACAGACGCGGGGGGATCATTGTTGGAAGGTTAATATAGCTGTGATACGACTGTGTTCCTTTTCTGTAAGTCCGCAGTAAAAAAAAGTGAAGGTGTAACTTCAGTACAGTCACAAAAAACAGTTTGAAATTACACTTCAGGCATTCCCCCGAACACAACACACCCCCAGGTAATCCTACCTGAGACCTGAAAGCTAGCTTGTATTGCCGGAAGTGCAATTTGAAAATTGAAACTCTTTTTTGCCCAAAGTGTAATTTCAAACTCTTTTTGTGACCGACGCATAGTTCCCCGAAAAATGGAATGAAAAAAATGATGACATCTGAAGGCCCTCTCCCCTTGGAAAGAAAGAAACAAAAAAAAAAAGATTGCTAGGCCGCACATCTATGTGTTATATGGCCGCCGCAGTTCTACCCTCCCTTTTGGTACTACCTAGTTGCAATTTCTAGTAATTCCTAGCAGTTGCTATATTTCTAGTAATTCCTACCGTCTTCCCCCGAGCATAACACACCCTAAAAATGAACGTATACAAACTACATTTCCGGCCAGATACAGCCAAAATAAGGGTGCGTTGTGTTCGGGGGGGAAGACGGTAGCAGTTGCCAGAATTTCTGTAGTTCTAGTAATTCCTTGAAGTTCCTAGAATTTCTAGTTCTAGTAATTCCTAGAAGTTCCTAGAATTTCTGTCCGGTAACCGGCCCCTCCTTACAGGAGGGGGTACTGAACCCCCCATTTATAGAACGCCTGGTCATTAAGGTAGGTGCACAATCAACTCTCCCGTTTATTACACTCCTACCGGCTTCTCCCGAATAGAACGCCGGGTCATTATAGCTGTATTTGATGCAACTTTCAGTCCAGATAAGGCCATAATTACCGGGCGTTCTATTCGGGTGAAGACTGTAGTATATCCAGGAACCCTGCGGCAGGTACTCACACGTCCCAGGCACAGAGTCCCGAAAATTCCTAAATGAAAGAATAGCAAGAGGTAACATAAGCAAAATTCCCCCGCCAGTGTTAGTGTGGTGCTGATTTAAAAAAAAAAAAAAAAAAAAAAAAAAAAAAAAAAAAAAACCATAAGCCAAATTCCAACCTACTGTGTAGGAAGGACAACGTACAGGGGCGGGATCCCACTACCAAGGAGGATTGGATTGAACGCCTGACTCTAGACGGGTTTGAGGAAAGATGGAGTGGAGAAAATCGAGATTGAACTGATTCTCTGCATCTCGGGTTAAAACACGCCCAGATTCAGGAGTTTAATCCAATCCTCTTTGCTAATGGGACCTGGCCCCAGGCCTCATGACCAGCGGCAGAATTATTTACTGTACATGGTCTACAAGCAACTCACTACAAATCCGCAGGTACAAGTCTCTGGCCTTCCTGGAAACAATTTCGGCATTTTTTTAACCCAAACCGTCAGGGCCAGTAGGACCTGACGATTTCGGTTCAAAAAACACCAAAATTGCGGCCAGGAACGTCAAAGTTAAATGCCCAAAGGGGTAGTACCGTCTGAATCAGCATGGAGGAGGAGGAGGAGGAGCAGGAGGAGGAGGATGTCATTCATCATCTTGGCCAGTGGGAATCACGGTAGGGAAAAAACAGAGGAGAAGGTGGATAGGGAGGAGCAGGAAGAGCGAAAGGGAGAAGTGACACGCAAATTCAGGCCATGAGATGGAAGGCACAGAAGCAATTCGCATCAACCAATACAACAATCAAAATGGATCGCATCGATCAATGGATCAATCAATTTTATTTTATTTTTTTGAACGGAATGAAATAACAAATTAAGCCACCAGTACGTTTCCCAGCGATTTTTCTCCAATGCCGCTGCATGTGGGACGCAGCCATTTTTTTTCTCCTACGGGGCTGCATGCACACCGGAGCAGACACTTTTCTCCGACGTGGCTGCATGCATTTCTCCGCCACGGCTGCATGGACACCATGCACCCGGGTGCAGCCATTTTTCTCCGACGTGGCTGCATGCAATTTTTCTCGGACGTGGCTGCATGCGATTTTTCTCCTACGTGGCTGCATGCATTTTTTTCTCCGACGTGGCTGCATGCAATTTTTCTCCGACGTGGCTGCATGCATTTCTCCAGCCGCAGCCATTTTTCTCATGACGCGTGCGGCATGAATGCCGCGGCCATTTTTCTCCGACGTGGCTGCATGCACAACATGCACGCGCAACCATTTTCCTCCAACGTGGCTGCATGCACACGCCAACTTTCTGGGGTTCGCTGCTGCAGCAAAATTGCTGGCGCCTCCAGGGCAAATGGAGGCCGTGCCAGTTCGTTTTGTTTTGGGCTGGCAGGGCTTTTTTTTTAGCTCCGGGAAAAAGTGGCTCAGACGTACTGGAGGTTTAACGTCAAACTTGCCCAATAATCGTATGAACAATTCGGTAATTATGGTATTCGAACAAAAAGAAGAAGAAGAAGAAGAAGAAGAAGAAGAGTGAAAACAGTGGCCATAGACTGCTTCTCGTACACGCATCAACAGATTTACATTTCTTCTCCGCATGTACAGTTCTCAGAAAAAACGCGCAATTTCCCCGACGCATTTCGGCCAGGCTGCGCTCCTGGCACTCACTCCTCAGGGGGTTTCTCCCCAGATCCGCCTTGGGGCACGACCAGACTTTCCGACCAAAAGAAGAGGAAGAAGAAGAAGGAGAAGAGACAGAAGAAGAGGGAAAAGAAGAAGATGAAGAAGCGCAAAAATAGTGAAACAGTGGCCATAGACTGCTTCTCGTACAAGCATCGATAGATATGCATTACTTCTCCGCATGTACAGTTCCCAGTATGCAACGCGCAATTTCCCCGACGCGTTTCGGCTTAATCAGGCTGCGCTCCTGGCACTCACTCCTCAGGGGGCTTCTCCCCACACTACGCCTTGCGGCACCACCAAAAAAGAAGAGGAAGGGGGAAAGAGAGAAAGAAGAAGAAGAAGAAGAAGAAGAAGAAGATTTTTTTTGAATTTTTTGGAATCTTACGCTTCACGTGCCGATCGCAAGAATCGAACACGCGCCCTCCCGGTCAGGAGGCAAACACTCAACCAAACAGCTAAAGAAGAAGAAGAATAGAATAGAGATAAGTGAGGCCAACACGAGTAGTCCAAGAAACAATAGATAGTCATCATTACAGAAGTTAGGACATGAAAGAGCTCAGAAACGCGCACACGCGCACATTGCCCGGCGCGTTTCGCCTGCCTGCCCCCACGCGTTCCGCCTGCCTGCGCTCCAGGAGGATTGATCAAAGGTCATTCCGCTCTCCTACATCCACACATCCACCGGTCGAACCGCCACCTGAGCATAGAGGGGACCGTTCTGGCCTTGCCCTCCGCAGTTATATACACACGTCTACTCCACCTGGCACAGCTCTGGCTGGAGGAGGAGGAGGAGGAGGAGGAGGAGGAGGAGGAGGAGGGGGAAATCGACGGATTGACGGTGGGCGGCCACTCACCTCTCTGTCTTGTTCGCCTTCTATCCCTCTCATCGGGTCAGACTGTCTATACTGCCCCTCTTCTTGCTCCTCCATATCTTTCTCTCCTTAACTTTTCATCAACTTTTTCCCCCATCTTTTTCCCGGTTCCTTTCTTCCCGCTCCCCTCTCCTCCCCTCCCCTCCCCTCCCCTCCCYCCCTCCCTCCCTCCTTCCCTTTCATCCCTCTCCTTTTTTCTTTTTTGTTTTTACATCACGGCGTCCTTCTTTCTATCATCATTGACTCCTTGCATTTTTATTTTTTTTGGTGGAAAAGGGCAACGGCCTCGAGGTATCATCATCAAACTGACCGGCCCCAGAGAAGAATATAGCTTAGGTTTAAAAATTAAAAAAAACAAAACAAAAAAAAAAACGGAAAAGAAAGTATCCCGCCTCGTGTAGCCGTGAGCGGAGCGGGAAGGTCCTTCGGCACATGGGTTCAAAATTTCTAAATTTATGCGTGTCATCCTTACTTGCGCAGGGGCCATTTGCTAATTGCCCTTCTCCCCAATTAAAAATAAAATAAAATAAAAAAATTACCCTTCTCTGTGTCGTTCCGACCGCCCGATGAAATTTGAATGTTGAATTGAGCAAAAAAACAACAACAACAACAACAACAACAACAACAACAACGAACGACAGCCTGCTTGCTGCCCAGGAACATCCCACCCAGCAAAAATAGTCAATGGCGGGGAAGAGACCAAGGCCCAATCATCGACCACCTAATCAGAGACGAGAAACGAAGAGAGAAAAGAAAAGAGAAAAGAGAATCAACTCAACGTGGAAGCATATCTGCAAACACAGACATGTAGGCCCTCGGCGCACTACTTAGCAAACGAGTGACCATTTTGGACGCCAAATGAGAGAAATTGCGCGCGAATCTTCTCTTGACGCGCTCAAATGAGTGACATCGCGCGCCAACTGAGAGAAATCGAGCGCGAATCTTCTCTTATGGCGCTCAAATGAGTGGCATTGCGCGCCAAACGAGAGAAATTGCGCGCGAATCTTCTCTTATCGCGCTCAAACGGATAAAAAAGATACGCCAGCGATTTTTTGCCATTCTCACATTCGGACAGCGGCGGAGCGAGGCCCTTAGAAACCGTACCATAGCCATCATCTCTCTCTCTCTCTCTCTCTCTCTCTCTCACACACACACACACACACACACACACACACATCATTGCGCTCGAACGGTTGAAACTCGCCTTCTCTCTCTCTCTCTGTCTCTCTCTCTCTCACACACACACACATCATCTTCTCTCTCTCTCTCTCTCTCTCTCACACACACACACACACACACACACACACACATCATTGCACTCGAACGGTAGAAACTCACCTTGCCTTGTCGCGCCGAGGTGTCGCACACTGGACAACCGCGCTCCGCCCGTAGTTCAAATTGGGCCACGTCACGCGGGCGAACCAAGCCGCCCACAGACCGACCGGGATCGAGTGCGGCAGGTCGGGGAGTCAGTCGCCCACAGTTTGATCAAGTACGACAGGGCCATGCATGTGGTGCCACGTGCGACACCAAGCTGTCGCACCCTCCTTGCACAGTAGGGAGCAGCAAGTCCGTCGGGCTGGCTGTCCTGAGGCCCTACATCTCAGGGCATACTCACACTACCTCGCACGTATATTCNCCTCCTTGCACAGTAGGGAGCAGCAAGTCCGTCGGGCTGGCTGTCCTGAGGCCCTACATCTCAGGGCATACTCACACTACCTCGCACGTATATTCTTTCTTCTTTTTTCGGTGAAAAAGGGCGACAGCCTCGAGATATCAAGGATGACCGTTAAACTGACCAGCCCCAGGTAATTAAGGAACTGAATTTTGTTCATCCAATTGGTTCGATCTGGATTTGAACTCGAGTCTGCATTTCAACAGTTTCTGGGTGTGCCAACTGAGCTAAGCCCATTGGTTCTTCTGCTTTTCCCTTATTTTCCTTTTTTTTCTTTGTTTTTTAAGACTTCAGATAGGGTGATAAGAGCATCCCCGATAAGTGGCCCCTACTTTTGAAGGCTCCGTCCATTGGTGCGAAGCAGCACCTGCTGGAAACCGGGTCCAGAGTCCCTATACAATGCATGCAATGCAGGTAAGCGGACACTCTGGTCGTTTCGCTTCCGACCCGGGCTCCGTTCTCCCATGGAGCTGCTACCTACGTCCCCCGAACATAACGCATATGCGTTGTATTTGAGTTTTCAAACTTGAACGAAAATAGAATAGAACGCATATTCGAATAGAGCACATATGCATTGTATTCAAATAGAATGCACCCTATGCGCTGTATTCGTTTACAATGCATATGCGTTATGTTCAGGGGAAGAAGGTAGTGTTACCTATCCCATCCTGGAGCACCAATCTATTTGTGGGGAGAAGCACGTGCTGGGAACCGGGCCCAGCATCCCATTCAAGAACTTTCTTTTTTTTATTATTTTTTTAACTCTGCAAGAAATACTAGTTGAGGTGCGGGTCCAGCATCCCATTGAATACATAATCTTGAGGAGGTGGGAGATGAGTATTAAACCTCTTCCCCCAGACCAGGGTGCCAGATGAACATAAAGCACTAGCCCTGCTACTCATCCAGGTTGTACCATGATAAAGGGACAATAGTATTCTGAGGGGATGGGAAGGGGTTGGGGAATTCCTCCGTTGGGCGGAGGGGAATCAAGGGATCTATCTCAATCCATTCATTGAATACTAACTTGTAATTCCTATTTAACCTTTCCCCTTCCTCGCCCGACTCACCTACACACCACCTTCCCTATCCTTCCCCCCTTCCCCCCCCCCCCCCCCCCCCCCCCCCCCCCCCCCCCCCCCCCCCCCCCCCCCGCCAGACTCTGTTGAATGATTGAAAGGACTTGATTATATATTTCTTGGAAGTGTTATAATGAATCTTTTCCTTAACTATTTCCCATTGGTACATGATATCCGTTTGAATTTGTTGTCTGATACTTTCAATAAACTCCGGACCACCCAATCTAACACCTTCTCATTCGTTGGTGCATCTTCTTTGCCATATGGCCCAAAGCATCGCTCTCCTACCCAGGATAAACAGATTTTAAGTAAAGTCATCTGTCTGATCCGAAGACCATACTTCCAGTAGGATTTCTTTCCAATCCCATGACCATTGTGTCTTTGTACCCAGTTGACTCCAGACACGATCTTACCATCTCCATAACCAAACTGCACCTGGGCATACTGGAAAGATATGTTTTATTGTTTTCGGGATTTTCCTACTAGGAAAGATGATATGCAAAGTTTACACCATGGTTCAGCTATAACTTTTTTTTCAGGGAGGATCTATCAATTAACTAGTCATTTGTTGGGAGACGGTGATGTTCGATTTATCAATCAAGCGATGTTATTTTTGCAAGCTTTGCTCTTACCGATTTAAACCATTTGACCTGACTTATGTTTTTTTTACTTAGGTTCAGATGTTGCATCCATCTCTCGGACACTCTTTCTCTTAGGTTGATTATAGGTTTTAACATTCGATAGGTAGACTTAACTGGCCGGGCATGTAGGGATCTGGTGTAATTTTTATCCTGCTTCCTTTTATCTCCCCGTGTCCAGTTGGCCGGATCAATCGGTAAATCGGAGATAACTATTGCATGTCATTCTAATTCAATTAATTAGTTTCGTTGAAACCCAGATCACCTTGTTTTCTACACAAGGGACAACTATATTGTTTTCGTTTAAAGTAAAGAGGGAGACTATAGCAATTGACTACGGGGAGAGTGTTATTACATTTCCAATCATTTAAGGCTTATTTCTTAGGCCTACCCAATCACTTCCCTGGAAGTTTTTACCTCTCTTGAGAATTCGAACCCGATCTAGCGGAACTCGATCTACGATGGTTTCTAGACTTTCTTCCACATGGTGACAGCACGGGAGTTTGTTGAGTAGTGAATTAGGGAGAATCTAGTCCTTAGAAGTGTCATTTCATCAAAATGAACATCTTTTATTTTTTTAACAAAATTGAAACTGAGTTTTTTGGCCGAAAACTCGTTAAAATTTATTGTTCCTGAGGGTCCGGCGTTTGTAAAACGTTGGACCCCCTGACTGTACATGGACCTAGTTTGAGACCAAGGACATCCAGGTAGTCCTGCCTGTTTGTCCCTGGTCTCAAGCTAGGTCCATGTACAGCCAGGGGGTCCGACGGTTTACAAATGCCGGAACCTTAGGAACAACAAATTTTGACGAGTTTTCGACAAAAAAACTCGATTTCAATTTCGTTCAAAAAATAAAAGTTATCCATTTTGACAAAATGGTCGTTTTATAATCACTATCCCATACATTCTTTATCCTTGTGATACCCTTCTTTATCTATCATTTTCATGGACTTGCATTACAATGCAGAGAATATCTTTGAGGGTCTCTAATCGATTCATTATTGAAAAAGGGTTGTCGAATGACTTCCTCTCATCTCAGTGGGGGATGTTTATCCAGCAAAAGAAGCTTTCAAGTTCTCCATGTTTGAAGGAGACTACGCCAGAAGGGATCCTTACGGATGTCTTGTCTTATTGCCACATTGTCTGAGTTTTGTAGTATGTTTTTGTTTCTTGGTGCATATTTTAGGATGAGTTATTACCGATTTTCTAACCACATTGCTGGATCAGTAGTATCCACAGTAAGGAGGACAAATCTTTTTATTTATTCCTAAGCTTAAGTACTCCATGAAGTTTGTGGATTGAAGAGGAGTCTCTTGATCCATTGTATTGAGAATGTCATGACCTGGTTGGCGGGGTCTATGATGCCCAACCCTCCTTTAGATTTAGGTTGGATTATAGCACACCGTGCAACCCTACTAGTAATGACATTTTTACAATTATGGTTACCCCTCCATAGAAATGTCATGAGTTGTTGTTGGAGACATGTGATGAATGGTTTATCTAGTGTCCATAAGGCTGATTTATACCATGTGGATGCTAAAATAACATTATTAATGGCTAAGGAAGGACCCATGATTGAAGTATGTTATTTTTTCACAAATTTAATTTAGTTTGTGCATATTGAATGATCCATTCATTGTTGGTTTTGGGTTTTCCTTCTGCCGATAGAGAAATGTGAAGAATTATAATTGGTATATCATTGGTTACCCACTTTATGCGATATATTTATAATGGTCTTCCTCTTTAATGATGGATCCACCACCCTAAGGTCTTATTATCCCGATTGACTTTCATGTCAGATAATGTGCAAAATTTGATTAGTATGAGTCTGTGAATTGCTTCCATACTTTCTTTTGTGGCATCCACCATTTATGAAAGATCATCAACAAAAAGGAAACATACCGAAATCGCCTCTTCTGAGATAAATGATATCTTAATTTTTTTTATGTCCTTATGACACCTAATATTTGTTGTAAGTGCTTCCATTACGATAATAAATAAAAAAGGAGCAAGTAGGTCCACTTGCCAAACCGATCTCTGTACATTTATTGGAGGGACCACATCGTCATTTATCATGATCCTAGTGGTAACCTGTGATGCCTGATTTTCACCCATCTTCTTAAGCATGGTCCAAAGTTGATCTTTTCAAGGCATTTGTCTAGAAAGAGTCAGTCAACATGGTCATAGGCTTTTTCAAAATCAATGAAAATGAATGTTGCATTATGTTTAGATTAACAAGTAATTTTAATTAGTTCATTTATCAGAAGTATGTTATCTTGGATGTTTCTGTCTGTGATAAACCCTGATTGAGGAGGATGAATGATGCCTACAATTACATTCAACATTTTATCTGCTAGTGCTTTAACTATTAGTTTTTATGCTACCGTAAGAAGTGCGATGGGTTTATAATTTTTAATATTGAATTTTTATCCTTTCTTGTAGAGTGAGTACACCTTGACTAACAATCTCCCCCATTTCTCATGAACTTCATACTGACTAGTAGTAATCAATTAAATTTTGAGATAAGTTTTCTCATATTGCTTTCCCGACCAAAATTATTTGGGAATGACATCTATACCTGAAAGTTTTTTCTTCCTCCATTAGAATTAGAGTCCTCCAAATTTCTTCTGTATAAGTGGTTTTTCTAACTCATTTCGCTGAATATCCTTTATACACTTTTTGGGAGCGAGTAAAAATTCATTTATTTCAATTAATCTCTAAGTTTTAGGAATTGAGGCATTTTGAAATGTGAATAGATCTTTGTAGAAATCCCTCGCTATTTTGGTATAGGCAGTCGTGGAGGTAGCTTAGCCTAGGGGCTCATTCATTTTGAAGGGGTCAGTTAATACCTCGACTGTTGATCTTCCAGTTTTCAAATGGCCATAGCAAACAATCTAGCATTCATAACCCCCTCCATTTTATTTCTTCTAAGTTTGCCTTTAATTTTGAAGCCTTACCATCAGTACTCCATATGTTTGAGTAATTCTTTTTCTAAATTTTGAATTTCATCATCTAGAGCATCTTAGGTATGTTGCTCTACATGATTAGTTTCTCTTCCCCGAAGGTCATAAAAACGTTTATGTAGATTTGTTTCCCATTTATGTTTTTGTTTGGCCAAGGCTTTGGCCCAAAAACACTAGACTGTTATTGAACAAGTTAATGCCATTGTTAATCTTGGGTCTTTGTTCTTTCCAAAAC